TTATAGATTATTTGAGATCTCCTTTAACCTACAACCTAACAACTATTCTAAATTAGTCACACCAAAAATAAAGTATGAATAATCACCTAAGTTATGCCAAATTACTTTTACAATGCTATATCAATCGATTATACAAGCAAAACCTTAGATAAAATTTATAACCTAAAAATTATACAATAAAACTACTCTAATCAGCAATAGAAATTAAAGCATAAAATTTAGAGGTGGAGAGAGGAAAAATAAATTGAAATAAAGCTAAAATAAAATCTTTCCTGAATATTAAAAACTCTGATTAAAATTTAAAATTATGATTTATGATTGATTACACTAAAAAATTAACTTTTCATAAAATTAAAAATCAAATAACATAAAATGAAAAATTGACAAACTATCGCCGGAGAAATTGAAGAAAAAGATGAAGAGCAACCGCTTTTGTGTGCTTTTATCCGTGATGCTTCCGTTGCCTCCTCGTCGTGCGCTTGTTTCATTTATATGAAAAGTGGTGCATTCCAATACTCCTGTGTCTCTCTTTCTTTCTTTTTTAATAAAACCTAATAATTTATTAAAAAGATAAAACTATTCTAAATAACCCTAACCAAAAACTACACTAAAAAACTCAAAATAAATATAAAAAAATTTTAAATATTTAATTCTTGATTTAATTCCTAAGCATGTCCATATTCTTCTTATCTAAAATATTCTCTATCAATTTTTTTTAAATTAAATCTAAAAAATCTGCACAAATAAGATAAAATTAAATAGAAATTATGAAAAAATATTAAAAATATTATTTATATTTTAAAATCAAATATTTATTTAATTAAAATCTCAAGACTGAATATTGGCTAATAAAATTAAATAATATATAATTAAACTTAATTAGCCTCAAATAAATATTTAAAAGTCTAAATTGAAAGGATAAAAATATATAAAATTATCATTTATCAACTACCATATCTTTTTGTTGTTTTAAATTGACTCTATATCTAAGAATATTCACATTATTATCTTTTATAGCATGAATATATGCATATTGATACTTGAACTAATTATTTTATTCATAATATATCATTTAAGATCGTCCAAAGTGAAGATAAAAGTGAGCATGACGAGGAAGAAATTAAAGTCATCATTAGCATGCATGCCACACTCAAAATGAGAGAACATTTAGAGAAGGATAATCCAAAAAAAGTTTAAGAAGAATGAAGATATTCATACAAATTTGGATACATCTTGAAAGCCTTGGACTTGATAGGTATAATATCATTAAGCTAAAAGTCTTTATGTTAAACTCATTGATTTAGATATGTAATATTGGCTCAAGATGTTTTAAATCAAAAAATTCATTTTAGCTCTTAAGAGAAAAGGCAAGATATATTTTTCTACAATTATATTTTTCATTTTTAATCACATATTTCTCACAAGGTTTGAAATGTTTTGATTACTAACTCTATAAAGTTTTCAAAGTTATTTTATTTACTTAAAAGGGAGTTAAGTTAAAAAAGTTATGAACACTTAAAATCTAAGCTTTGAAATGAGAATTGTGAAAAAAAAAAATCAAATTTGATCTTTGGTCATATTTTTAGTCATATCTCTCACTATATAGATCAATTTAATGTGAAATATATCTCATTTGAAAATAGACTCCAATATATTTTTAATAATATTTGATTGATTCAAAATGGAGTTCTATTAAGAAAAGTATGAATTTTAAAAATTGAGTATTAAGATATTGATTCTACACAATATTAGGAGTTAACTTTCAATTAGTCTTTTGATAATATCTCAAAAAAGATGCTCAGGATATATATGGAGTGAAAGAAAAATTATTTTGTGTTGATTTGAAGAACAGTAGCAATGTATATCTTTCTCTTCATACAAATTTAATATATTTACAGAGTTGCAAAATAATTAACAGATCATTATATAATTTACAATAAATATTCCAAAAACCATCAAATTTTATGAAACCATAACTCCATAAAAATAAAACATAATAAGTTCTTTCAATTCTATCACTTATGAAAGAGATATTTAGAATGGTAGAAGAAATTGAATAAAAAATTATAAAATGCATAATTATGTGCAATTACCTAGGATCCACTGTGAATGAGGGATCAATTAGAAATTGAAATGCTTTTTTGATGTCTACAAGCACATAACAAACCTCATTTGCTATTAGCTAAGAACAAAAAATATTCATTAAGGATGACATAAATGGGGGTTGAGAAATCATGGGCAACTGAGGGAGGAGCCAGAGAGGAGGGTTTTTGTGATTTTGCTTGTCTTGATAGGGGAATGGAGCGACTAAATCATATTAGGAGTGGAAGAAAATTGTGTGTGCCTTGTAATTGCTCAATCTGATGATACGTTTATGCAATTAGAATTTTAAAACTAAAAATAAGAAAAAGATTATGGAAAGTTATGATAATAGAAGAGTAAGAGAGATAATGGGAGAGAAACAGAGGAAAATGAGAATTAAAATAATTTATTTTAAATAAAATAATTTTTAGGGTAAATGGGAAAAAATACCCATAAAGTGGTTAGTCAGAGTTACCTAGTATTTTAAAGTGAAAAAAATGACATAAATACCCATAACATTATATGAGTGGGTGCAAAAATGATTAAATTATTAATTTTGATCTAATACCATTAACTTTGATCGTTAACTATTGATTGTGCATGCCATATATTAGTCTTTACTGATGTTGACTAATAAAGGAGTAAAAGTACTCATAAAGTTGTCGACCAAGAGCAAATATACCCATAACATTACTAAAGTTTTTGTAAAAATGATCAATCCATCAAATCCCTTAAACGTTGATTGTTTAACTGACACCAAAGCAGAAGTTGACCATATTTTCATTGACATGGACTAAAAATATTCCTAGATTAAATTCTTTAGAGGTTAATCGGTCATTGTATGAATATAATGTGAGAAAATGTCATTTTGATCGAATATCAAATTAAATCATTTTTTTTTAATATTGGCGAAAACCATTTAAAAATTTTGAACCTAAAGAATAAAATTGCTTAAGATTGTAACAATATTTTTAAGGTAGGGTGGCATAGGAGGTGTACTTGGTTTTGATTTTTGATTTTGCACAACATATCTTACTATGTTGAATCTCAGGTTTTACAGACAAGAAAAATGAGTGGAGAGGAAGGAAGGAAGGAGGCATGATACATGGCGGTGGAAAAAAATCATATAGCATGAATTTTGATGGATTAGTAACTATTACATCTACTAAAGTAACATTATGGGTACTTATACGATAATCAATCAATATCCGTAAAAATTCATTTAGGAATATTTCTTCTCTATATCAATAAAAAAATAGTCAACTTCTGTTTTGGTGTTAGCTAAACAGTTAACATTTAAGAGATTTGATAGATTAATTACTTTTATACTAACTCTAATAAAGTTATGGATATTTTTTTTGTGGCCAACGATTTCGTGGGTATTTTTGCCCCTTTATTAGTCCACATTAGTAAAGACTAACACATCACATACATAGTCAGCATTTAATAATAAAAATTAATGACATTAGGTCAAAGTTTATGGTTTGATCACTTTTGCACTAACTTATGTAACAATATAAGTATTTATGTCCTTTTCTTCACTTTAAAATATCGGATGCCCTTAGCTGACTACTTTATAAGTATTTTTACTCATTTACCCTAATTTTTAATATTTAAGAAAATTTAATAGAAAATCTAGCATGCACGCTTAAATTGTATATTTTCTAGGAGGGGGTTGGGGAAGTTGAAAAATTATGATAATGAATGAGATCACGAGAAAGAAAAATTAGAAATAAAAGGGAGTGATTTTTGACAATTTAAAAATAATATTTATTATTTGTAAAAAAAAATTAGAAATTAATGTTTACATGAATAGTCTACATAATCACAACATTTTAAAAAAATGCATACGTGTTGAGCTTAAAGGTGACTTGCGACTCTATTTACACACACACTTACTGTATTTAAAATGTTGTTATGTTAGTCATCATAATAAGTAATATGTTATTTATTATTCTTATTTCTATCTTGTCATGATATCTCAATTTTTAAAATTAAATGTTTAAAAATAAGAATAAACTTATGTAGAGCCACGACGCTGGAAGAGTGCGAGAGATAATGAGGAAGGAATAAGAAAAAGCTGAATTATGATAAATCATTTTTTAAAAGTCTATCAAAAGAATAAATCAATTTTTAAAATAAAAAATAATAAAAAATAAGTTAATAGAATTAAATGAAGTTAATATGACACTATATATTTACCACATTTTGGAAAAAGGACATATGTTGAGTTTAAAAAGCAGCTTACGGTTCTATTTTTACATATATAGATTTTACATTTATAGCAAGCATTACAATACTATAGAAGATCGATATAAAAACAAGTTAAAAATAGCATTTGGATTGTAAAAAAAAAAACCAATATCAATTATAATAGTATTTATAAATCATGAACAATATATTTTTTTTACAAAATGTCGTACAACACACGAAAAGAAAATCTGACCCATAAGACAGGAATCCAACAACTCTAAAAGGGTCAAAGAAAGATATTCCAAAAGAATTAGAAAAACCATCCCAATAAAGGCCTAGTGAGAAATTTCACCCGGAAAAAAAAAAAAAAAACAGAGCGCTACCAGCTCGGCATGTTTGATAGCGAGGAATGAAAAGATAGGATAATAGAAAAAGATCATGTAATATCTGTTATGGTTTTTTATTGTAATTACTATACAAAATATTTCTCTTTTTATTACTTTTTTAATTAAAAGTACCCACACTCTTTCCTGTTTATTCTACTCATTTCTCACCCCCCCTAAATTTCATTCCTTCTCTCACTCGTCCCAAACGTTCCCTGACTAGCAGCCACCGTCCACAGTAAAATACTTGGATCACCGCCGTTTATACGGCCATGTTACGAATCCTACCATCCTTGCGCTTGCAAGATGTCACCTTTAAAATGGGGGAACAGAACAACCTACTAAAAAAAGTAACCGCTTGAATTCACAGGTGTCAAAGGATATAATTCAAAAGCATAGATGATTTCTTTTCCCGCCTAAAAAAATGCACAGATGATTGTGGAAACAGATTCAAATAGATGGAAACCAGTTGGAATATATGCCAAAAGCTAATTATGGGTTGCAGTCTTGCAGAGCTGATCATGACTCAAGGACCGCTCCTTCAACAATTTTCCACCCAGATCCTGAACAAGACAACTCATATCTCGTCGTGTACGTTCTAATGTTTGAAGCATCGTGATCTGGATGACCAATAGCAGTAAGGTGGGTTGATTCTTTGAGAGTTGCTTCAACCGCTGCTCGCCGCCCATTCTGTGATATAGTCACACTATCTATGTTGAGGCTCAACAAGGCATAGTCATAGAACCAACCAAGCTGTGCAATTTCCGCCGCACGATCACTCCATATCTTCAGCATCTCACCATCCAAAGCCTATCAGTGCTTCATGTCAACACCAGTTTCCATATACAGCAAGGAAAATACACAAATAACTGCTGCCTCAATAAGAAAAGCACTCAAGGCAACAATATGGGAAAGGGGGAGGGGCTTGTTATCTTGATACTGATCCAGCAGAACAAAATATCCTGAAAATGATAATAAATAAAATGAAATTCATCCAAAAGTTTCCACCCTGTATCCAAGATAGACAAGGCGCTCAGGTGACCCTCTATCCATCTGTTAAAAGTGTAAAACAAAAAGAATGGCAAGTAGAGGCTCATGATTTGTTGATGACACACGATCTGACATGGTTTGAAATATTAGTTCAAATCTTCTGTGAGAAAGCAACAAGCTAGAAATGCAATAATTCGATGCCTCCCACAACAATTAATAACTTTGACAAACAGGAGATTAATAGCTTAATTGCTCCATAGAATTTAATGACAGACGACAGAATAAATTAGATACTGAGATCTTATAGGGATTTATATCATACAACGACTTCCCAAATAGAGCCATATTTACTTCAACCAGAAGGAAAGATTTTTATCATTTATCAGTTAATTTATCATACAAAATTTTATCAGACTTGCTTACATCTTGCAATCTTTCCAGGCGATGATCAGGTCCAAAAGCTTCAGATTTGATATTTTGCCAGTTGCGAACTAGGGCTTCTGCAATTCTAGCATCCATTTTCCGTTGTCGCTCCCCAGATTTTTCATTTCCTAATGACCCCGTGCATTTTAATCTATCAATTGGTGTTATTATCCAAAGGGAGAAATAATTGTTTAAAGTTTACACTTTGAACCATCAAAACCTATTTTAACATCTATGGACACTCAATGTCAGAGAAAAAACAAGAATTAAGGACATAATTGCTCCAATCATTCAAAATTTCAAATCTCCATAAAGAATTAAAGACCATACCTCCATTGATAGCATCTGAGGCCATTGCCAAACCAGTTGTTTCCTGCAGAATGGGTGAGCCATTCTTAGGAGGTAAATACTTTAGGCCAACCAAAGTTGCCAGTCCAATTACAACACCAGCACACATGATTTTCACTGTCGCCCCTTTAATCTTGTTAGTAACAAGCTCGTCTTCACCTATTTCACCAGAATTCTTTATGCCAGAAACCTCCACATTGGCATGCTTATCTTGGTCTGTTATTATCAGAGGATCCTCAATTTTATCAGGAACAAAATAATCCATCTTACTGTTATCTTGAGGCTTCACAATTTGATCTTCAGAAACAACAGGAAATACCTTCCGCAACAAGTTAAAAGCACCAGTCTTCACATGACCAATGACAGCAGAAGCTTCAGCTCCAATTTTCACTATGGCTGCAGCAGCAGCCAATGGTGAATGACCTGCGCCCTCCAGCTTCTCCAGATAACTCAGTACCGTAGGGTCATCATAGTAATCTCCAAGCTTGAATCTTATATCTTTAGTATCTCTAAATCTGGGGAAAACCACCTCCATCAACCATGTCTCCAGTAATTTGCAAAGTCGGGAAGTTCACTGTCATCATCATCCTTTGAGTTTTCCAAAATAAATTCCATAATAGATGGGTTCCTATAAGGGGAGCTTTCACTGTCTAATCCCAACCATGATTGACATTTATCAAGCTCTCCCACAAGCAATGCACAGAGGCCCCTCTCTAAAGAAAAGTCAACCTCCCTGTTCTCTTTGGAAGAATAGATAGAGGCAGCATTCTTAACAGTTGAAACTTTAGTTTGCTGAAGTTGTTGGAATAAGTTATCAGCATCCTGGATAAGATGTGGCTTTTTACCCACAAAAGCTTGTGCAACCAATGCAAGTGCCACTCCATACACTTCAAAACTTTCAGCCGGAATATTACTTGGTGTGGCAACAAAGAGATCAACCTTCAACAGAAAATTGAAAGCAAAATGGGGCAAGAAAAGGTAAGAGTAAAAGCAAATTTCTTGAAAAAGCACTTGAATGGAAAATAAGACATGCCCATGGAAAAGTAAAACAAAAAACTAGGAGTACCTGTTCAGCTGCTGTCATATGTAAAAAGGCCTCATTCATGAAACCTTCACGGGTGAAGCCACCAGCAATTGCTGCTGCTCCCCCTCCTCCAACAGCCCACAGAATGTTGCGTACACCATGAAGACCTTCCTCCCTCCTTGATCGATATTCATCACGAATAGGCAAGGCTAGAAGTTCTAAAACACACCGTGGGGTAATATCTTCCAGAGTCTCATCAATTTGAGCTTGTAAATCTGGTGCTAGGCCACTGGCCCCTTCTTCCTACATAACCAAGCAAATTTTCTTGGGTAGCATGCAAGATGGCAGCTACATTTGATTCATCATGATATATATGGCAATATTAGGTTCTCATGCATACATTACTTACAATGATATTATAATTTGTGCGTCCAATAGCCATCAAGTTCAGACATAATTCAATACAAAAAGTTAATATTTCAAAGTCGTACTCTTTTCTTTGACAACAAAATTTCATACTCACGTCATTGTTGTCAATTAAAAATCTTGCTGTCAATTAAAAATCGTCAGCGCATTGCTTGACATGTTAAATCACAAAGCAGCACCAACTTGATTTCACCGCGCTACTGAGGTTTTGATAAGTACGTCTTTCAGAACAAGACTTGCATCAAGGTGCTAAAATAAAATAAACACAGACATGTGTAAAAATTTACAATCAAAAAGTTCATCCGAAGTATTTAAGTCGCTACTCAACAGAAAGAAAACAATTGCCACCGAAAAATTGTAAAAACATCTACGAAGAAAAAGATTCCCCAAGCCAAGCCAATAGGAAATGCAGTGGTTTACCTGTAGGAGCTTCAATGCCCTCTCAAGCAACTCACAGCCAGCAATAAAATCAGGAGGAGACAACGCCATAGCGTCCCTTGACAAGTCAACATAAGCAAGGGCCATCGCCAAGACAACATCTTGCTTAAACGATTTGGGCAGCCTCTCTCTAAGCAAACTTCCTCCAATCTGAAGGGTCAACTCAGAGTCTCCAGCTTCTTGCAAAACGCACAGAGCTCCAGGAACCTACAAAGTCATAATTGCCATCAAATAACTCCATTAACGCAGAAAGAACTATAATATAACTAACACTGGCATGTACCCACGTCCCAAATATTCGATTCATTTCCATCCAAGAGGTTAATAACATTCTCGAACTTCAGTAGAATTACCTTGTCCCAGGGGACTTGGGTGACAATGGTTCCCTGCTCGTCATCGACAAGGCTTTGGTTGTACTCTCTCCTTGATCCCGGATCGGCAAGGGTTTCACATGCAGCTTGAAGTATTTGTCTGCGGCTGATTAACGCGTCGTCGCTGAACCCATACGAAGGAGGCTTTGAGACCCTAGCTTCGTAAGCTCTTCGAATGCCATCACCAAGGAAATGCGTCTCTGCTCCAAGAACCCGATAGAAGCCTAGGGGAATGGAAACATAGCGCTCGGGAGGGTCGAGCCTCGGAGGGAGAGGAAGAGTGGGGTTGAGAGTTGCGACGGAGGAGGAAATCGAATAGTGGTGGTCCGAGGAGTCCCCAAGGAATTGAAAGTCGGAAATGAGGCGTTCGGCCCATTTGCTGGCGGAACACGAGGTCAAGAGAGAACCGCTGCCGCCACCATCATGAGAATTGGTTTTACTACACTTTCGAGGATGCAGTGGTGACCGCAGTCGAGGAGTGCCAACACGACTCAGAGCTTCCATCGCAATACGTGCCCTGTTATCCTAAGCCCTGCAAATGCCTTCTCTCGCGGCCCTCATGACCATCTACAAGTGCCGGTGCTTCTTGATGCAATATCAACAAGTATGAAATAGAATACACCCCTTTTGAAACATCCGTTGTAGTCTAGTCGGTTAGGATATTCGGCTCTCACCCGAAAGACCCGGGTTCGATTCCCGGCGACGGAATTCTTTTTGCTGAGTTAACTTTTAAGTACTATATATATTTTTCCATTTATTTATTTATTTGTCAATTTTGAGTTAATTAATTCACTAAAGTTTAGGATTTATTTGATTTTTTTAATCAATTTAGTTTTATTTTTAAACGATTTAGGTCAGTTTGGTTTATATTTAGATTAAATTTAATTTTTTTTAATGAGATACTTTTTTTAATCAACATATGTACATATTCACTAATAATTTTTAACTATTAATTAATATTTTTTAAAAAAATTCTATGGAATAAAAGGATATTTTTATCTATTCAAAATAATACTTATCTACTTATTATTTTTAAAAACCAACACCTCCCTTTCTCTTGTATTCAATTATTTGTTTTTTTTGTCTTTATGGTGACTTGAGCTTTGATAGACATGACATGACTCATTTATTTTGAGATTGTGGTTGATGTATCATAAATCACGATAAATAATTTTTTTTATTGTGATAGATTTTAAATTTTGTGTTATTAATATAGATAATTGTATTATGATGTCACCTTTAACCTATTAATCCACACAGTTTGGGTTGCGTTGATAAAACACCAACCTATATAAAAATATATTAAACTCAATTTTTTCTCAAATTATATTTACCAACTCATATAATCAGGTCTCCATCAATATTTATTAGTTGTTTTAGACCCATATGGTATTATAAAATTTATCCATCTCAACTATGTTATACATTAAAATAAAACAGGGAGAATATCAACTAAGGTCCTTCTAAGAGCATTTATTGCATGCAAAGACTAATAAATTTTGAAACTTTTTTATAGGCCCAAACACATCAATTACAATTAAATCTATTGATCCAATTACTAAAATGATTTTGATTTATGTGAAGAACAAAAACAAAAATCCCACCCTCGCCAAAGCCATTCTCGGTGAACCATCTTTAATGACAAGGCCATTGTTGCATTAAAGGCTGAGTAGTCAATTGTCAGTCAAATCAAAAAAGGGGCCAAAGAGGCTTTGAACCGTTGACCCCTTAGTCTCCCAAAATGAAAATAACCATTGGACTAACATGCAATTCAATATATATAGTGCAACTAAGGTACTAAAAATTGATCAGATCAAAGTCATGAGTTCAATAGGATCAAATTGGGGGTTAAATCGAAATCCAACCAGCTATAATAAAATAATACAATATAAATTTTTTTCAAGAAAATAGAAATTTATCTTATTAAAAAAATAAAAATATAATATACATTAAAATGTAGAAAGTAGAAACAACTTTTTTTGCATGTAACTCAATGTCTGCTCATGTCAAATCATTCTTCATTTTTCATTTTCGAAATAATGCAACACTAAGCTCTTTTCTCCCTTTTCTACTTTCAGTTTCAATTTCATCTCTCCTATTTTGACATTTTCTTCTCCAGTGAAGTGAGATGAATATGAACTTAGAAGCTATATGGAAGGAGGAATTGAGAAGGGAAAGAAGCAAAGTAGAGATGAGTTTGGCAAGGACAAACTGCTAAGAAGAAAAGGTGTAATAATAAGCAAAGAAAGATGATGGTAAAGGATATGAGCACATAGACGAATAATAGACGAGTTAAAGCTCCACGATTGAGAGTCAAGACCTATTAAGCTTTGAGATGACACGATTGATGAAGCATCTACTTGAAGCTCACTGTTTACGAACAACTGAGGACGGTGAGTAGAGAAAATAGTCAACAACATAACAGAGAAGAGAACGAAGATGGAGTAGTGGAGATGAGAGGTCTAAATCCAAGAGTTGAAGATAGTAAAGAGGTTCATTACTCACTAGGACTTATACTTTTTTTTATTTTTAACCTTTAAATGATGTCATTTTAGATCAAAGTTTTTTAAAAAATTTCAACCCCCAACCCGCTTGACCTATGGGTTGGGCAGGTGGATTTGGGTTAATCCTCGACTACCCAGGTTAACTCGAGTCAATTGAGGCCAGCTTAAAATAGAAAATTGGATCATATGGATAGTTAGTTAGCTATTCGCAGATTCGATTGGCCAATCCAATTTGATTTTAAAGGCAACAAGTGCAACACACACACACACACACACACACATTATAACAAACTTTCATTTCCAAACATTTCCACCAGTTATTGTAATCATATTTAAACAATTACTTATACTTATTCAAACATGACTTATTCATATTAAAAAAAATTTTAATTTTCAAAGGGAACTTGTTTTAGTTTTTACTACTTGTTCCTTCAATATCAACAAGTAAATTATATTATGCTAAATAAAAAAATATGTTATAAATTTACTTTCCAAGCATTTTCATGGGCTTTTGTTAATGCCGGATAAGTTGTTGTTCATATCCAAATAATCATTTGTACATATTTGAATATGACTTGTTAATGTCTAAAAAGTTGTCAAATTTCTTGTAAATATCATTACATAAATTTGTATTAAAGTTCTTGCCTAATTTCACAATATCACCACATATATTTCCATTAGGTCAAAATATCCTCAAATTACACTGTGAAAGTGTAATGTTTTCCTATATCTTTGCAAAAGTTACATAATTACTACATACATATATAATATTATTTACATTTGTACTAGTATTTTAGCCTATCTTCACATAATTCATCACATATGTCACTATATATATAAGTTTAGGTTAAAACACAACACACATGTGCATCCATCAAAATAACATGCATTCCTAGTTGGAAACTAACAATATCAAATATTTACAACTTTATGTACATAACTCAAAATAAAATCGGGCATTACAAATTATATTTAGCCAATCAGCTAGTCCTTGCTCAATTCTTTCCCTTGTTCCTTCTCAACTCTAGAACTTGTAAAATAGTAACTAAGGGGTGAGATAAAAAGTTCAATAACCAAGATAATCTAGATTACTAACTAACATATAAAGCTATAAACAAGTATTAAAATTAATACATAAATGCATGTATACAAATAATATCACCACAATACTAATACATGACCAATGTTCATTCGACCTCCAATACTCATGACTGAACCTGTAGGCTATCTTACAAGATCAAACCATATGTTCAATTTGAGCTCATTATCCATGTTAGGGCTACTTGGTCAAGGCGTTCTAATGTACTTTCGAACACCATACATATATTATTTACTATAACTTGTACAATCAACCATGTAAACAACTTCTACAAGCTAATGAATAATATAAATTATCTAGTTATTTTAATCATTTTGTCATTAAAAAGGTTACCTTATACAAAATCATCACCATCGCCTCTTGAACCTTAGAAATGTTCCACACACCTTAATTTGTAATAATAAGTACCAAATGTTAATTTTTTAACTTAACAAAGTACTTTTAGCTAAAATTTACCCTAATTTCAACACTCAACTTATAACCTGATAGTTGAGCTAGTCATAATTACAACGAGCTCATACCATCATCTCTAACCTCCACTTAACATAATCACTACATATCCTACTTTAACAAGCCCTAAAACCTCAAAATTAAACTAAGGCTTTGTCCAACTTCTATCTCAAAACACTACACTTTCTAAAACCACTTGCTCCAAGTTTAAGGAACTTAGATTAAGCTATTAAAACTACATGCAATACTTAAAGCATAGATTCCTAGCTTTTCTAGTCCTATATAAAAACTTGCTTACTCTCAACTCCTTAGAGAGATAAGGAGCTTACCAAGTTACTTAATAGCCAAAATCAAATCCTAAGGTTGCCACAAGCCCACAAGTTATACCTTAACATAACTCTTCTTCTTCCCTCTCATGCTCATCGACAACCCAGCGTCCCTTCTATTTAACTTAACTAATTTGTGACCTATAAAACTTGATTTAAGTGCCATGCATTACGGTACAACATGCACAAGCTGCCACATGTGACATAATAAGAAAACTCTCACTTATCACATGACATCCCATCCTGCTCAATGATTCAAAACACCCATTAACAATCTAAAAATATAATTAATTAAATTAATCCACTTATTCTCTAATTTTTCCTTAATTAGAAATTAAGTATGAAATTAAAATTATGGATATTACATTTAGGAGTAAGATATACTTTATATTTTACGCTGTTGCAGCATCCATTCTCTTGCACAACTTTTATGATTTGAATTCAGTGTGTGTAGCAACTACAGGCACCCAATATGTGGAGACACGTTTCAACATCTTCTAGCATCAGTTGAATTAGTGGCTTAAACTAACAAGCTACTCTTATGTCTCCTATTTTCCATGATACAACTAACCTAGTCACTCCTTTCACCACCCACTTTGTCTTTACTCACTTATCTTTCCCCCTCTTTCTAAATTCTTTGAGCTAGAAAAAGAACCCCAATCTCCTTTCTTCCAATATTCTCGTTAGCTTCAAATTCTTACCCAAGACTTATTTATGTTTGCCTCCTTTTTATTCAAAATTATTCATGCTTGATATTATCATTTCCCTCTATTTTTTTATTATGTGTTCCACTCTATTCCTTTTTTCTTTGTTTTTGCCAAATAATATTGGGTAAACGCTCCCTTACTCATCTCGTCGTTAGTGATAATAGCATCCTCTCTTTCATTCATAGACCCTCACTGTCGTCAAAGGTGTTTATATTGATTTTGAAATCTCTCTCACAAGTCTCCTCATGATCACTCTTGGTTACAGAAGACAACCCTTACAAGCCAAAATGATGTTTAAAAGAAGAGATTTAATGTTTCAAACTTATGGTTGCATATAACTTCCTAAAGCCATTGATTTAATTAATTTTATAAGATGTTAACACATGTCTTCACATACTAGGTGCTTGTAGTTACTACACACACTAAATCTAAATCTTAACTTTCACCAATGTCACTATTTAAAGTCTTAGAGAGCAATCATTGTTGTAATCTGGTAAACATTGT